TCGCCTTGGTACTCGGGAAGGGTTGTGCGAAGGTGCCGGCCTTGCAGTAGTTCACCCGGAGAGCGACCATCTTCTAGTGGGGATGACCGATAGGCTAAAAGCCCCAACCAAAAGTCACCGTTGGAGTCGTTGGTCTTCTTTAGGATGCGCTTACCAATCTGAACCCGTTGGAGTCGTTGGTCTTCTTTAGGATGCGCTTAACAATCTGAACCCCCTTTTCTGCCAGTCCATTTGACCGAGTGAATTCTGGACTCGATGTGATGTGCTGAAAGTCATATCTTTGCGCGAACTCTCGGAACTCTTGCGATCCAAACTTGGGCCCATTGTCAGTGCATACATGAAACGGGATGCCGTACCGTGAGAAGATGGCCGATATTTTATCTATGACTTCTTTGGCCGTTGTGCTTCTTAGCTTCTCTACGTCAGAGAAATTGGAGTGGGCATCATATACAATGACATAGGAGGCTCCCCCGAACTGAAAAATGTCAATTCTCACTCAGTGCCATGGTCTGTCCGGGGTTGGCTGCATGAGAAGGGGCTCACTTGGCAGCTTGTATGCATACCTCTGGCAAGTACTGCACCCCCGAATGAAGGAGTCAATGGCACTGCTGAGTCCAGGCCAAAATACCAACGTGCGTGCTTTCGCCTTGCATTTATTTAGTCCGAGGTGTCCATCGTGAATTCGTCGAAGAATTTCTGCTCGCATGGCTTTGGGTATGACCACTTTGCATCCCTTCAGTAGTGTACCTTCTACCACTGACAGTTCTCCGGCAAAGGGCTTGAGTTCACCCTCGACGGCGTCACCCCGTGAGATTCGTTCTCTCACCTCGCTCAAATACGGGTCGTTCCTTGTTTCGTTTTCCAGACGTACATTCATGTGCGTGCTTACGATGCCGGAGACGACCTCTGTCGCATGGATGTCGACGTCTGTGAAGGCACTCGATGACTGTGATGACATAGGTGCACGCAACAGCATGTCCGCCAGAACCAACTCCTTGCCAGGCACGAACTGCAAAGTATAATCATATTGTAAAAGCCTGATGAAAAAACGCTGTAATCGTGGTGGCATGTCTCCAATGCCCTTTTGAGAAATGGCAAGCAGGGGCCTATGGTCACTTTCGATCCATACTTTTCGACCATAAACAAAATGATGAAATTTCTCGCGTGCAAACACTATACCGAGCGTTTCCTTTTCAATTAGGTAATCTATGTGTACTGAAGGTAATCTATGTGTACTGAGCTATTTAGTACATCCGTTGGTGTATATTTTCTTTTGTGTATGGTTTGTACGCAAACGTGGTTATTTGTAGTGGGCTCACATTTTCCTTCGGGTCCTGTACTAAGTGATTTATCTGTTCAGTACATATTTTTTTTCGTTCTCTTGTTGTTATCGTTGTTGCCCGTTTATGTACTGAGAACACCGTTGTACGCTGGTGCCAAAACGGGGGCCCGCAGCTTCGTCAAGCTATCCTTGCGATGGCTTTTTCTGCCGGCCTCCGGCATTGTGTACTACGTAGTACATGATGTCAATAAAGTTCACTGTTCACTGTTCAATTGGCGAGTAACGGGTCTCGCAATCGGTTAATGTTCTTGATGCATACGTCACTGGGCGCCAATCATTGCCATGTTCCTGCAGCAGGGCCGCGCCTAAACCGGTCCCCGAAACGTTCGCAGTGATCTTAGTGTCCTTCTTCTCGTCAAAGAGCGCGAGTAACGGTGGGTTTGTTAACGCGTTGCACACTGCTTCCCATTCCCGCTGATGCGCTGTGGTCCATTCAAACGTGACGTTTTCTTTCACAAGGCCGCGCAGCAAGATTATCTTATCACTCAACGACGGCACATATTTGCGAAAATTGTTGACCACGCCGATCATTCTGCGCACGAGAAGTTGTTGTAGATGTCGAGGGCTTCCTCACCGGCGATGCTGAGCAAGATTGCTGTCTTGGATTCTTCCGTCCTGGGTGGTTTAGTGGGCGTCGCCGCGAAGAAAAGTTCCAGTTTTTGCTTCAACATCTGCCAATTTCTTCGTATATTGCCTGCCAACTGCAGCTGTTCTGGATGCTTGATGTTTTCCATTTTGACGAGGCTTTGGCACTTCTGACACCATGCATTGAGTCTCTAAAAGAAACAGGCTGTCATGTTGGCTAGAGCTGCGCCACCCAAAGAAGGCCATGGCGGTTTATTTTCGAGCCCATTTAAAGCATACGATATGAAAGAGGGAAAGGGAACAAAGGGAGAACAGAATAAGTGTGACGTACAGTCACACAGATAAGCTGCAATCTGATACATGCCCCGGCCCTTGCGCGGGCCACCAGGGCCTCTTGGACCCCCTCGGTCCGGGCTGGACAGTGCCGCCTCCCATCCATCTCTACTGAAATCCCGAAAGACATCTGTTTTGGATGCGTTGCACTGGCACTCCCATGCCATGTGATAAAGTGTAGCTGTATTAGTGTTGCATAGCCTGCATGTTGGTGAGGGGTTCTTATCATGGTCGATTTTGGAGAGTACGTGTGGGTTCAAATACGATAACGTTTGTAAGTGGCGCCAGGCTACCTGTGCGGCTTTACAGAGTTGAGGATGTGGTGGAGGATATTTCCTCCGCGCAAGCCCTTGGTTTTGTAATATTTCAGTGTATGTGGTCAGGTGGGCCGTCTGATCTGGAAGGGCTGGAGTTCCTACACTGAAGTTAGAGTCCCGGGGGTAAGAGAGCTTGGTAAAACTGGGTAAACTGGTGTGCGCACAAAAAACAGACAAACGACAGCAGAGAAGAGACAGGGACAAGCGCAGACTTTCAACTAAATTTAATTCTTCGTCAACCTTCAATTTACAGTCGCACAGAACATAGTCAAGTGGTCACGAGGACAGAACCTAATAGTTTACAACAGGCCACGCAAAAAATGACGCTCACTATCAAAAAGCGAAATGGATGTATCACTAACACAGGTATTGCCTCTAGCAGAAATATAAAACGCTTCCAACAGTTCCCGGGCTGTGGTATCAGCACTCCGACCCAAAATCCTAATCTCCGAGAAAATCGGTGAGCACGTGCAAGCTTTGCAATGCGCGGGCAAATGCGTGATCCCGTTATTTTTAAGTGACAGCTCATGTTCCCTTGCACGGTCGTTCACGCAACGCCCCGTATGACCCACGTAAAATTTCCCACAAGACAGCGGTATTTCGTAGACAACGCCCGTCGCACATTTCACATACACAAACGCGTGCTTCTTTCCGCAACCACCGGAACTCTTCTCGCCAGGGAAGATTCTGGGACAAAGTCCAGCCAACTTACGTGGGGCGGAGAACACGATCGGCACACCGTGTCTACTCGCTATCTTTTTGAGGTTGTGGGAAATGCGATGCATATAAGGCATCACCTCCGGACGCCACCTGCGACGCAGGCCAGGGTTCCCGCTGGAACGGACTGCTTTGGCATCACGCAGAAGCACTTCAGCGACTGCCGAGACTACCGTGCAAGGATACCCAGCGGCAATTAAACGCCGCACCTGATCATTAAAGCTTTCTTGCATTGCATGTGAGCATGACTTCTCAAGAGCGGACCGTAGACACAGTTTGGCAATCCCCCTTTTTACTAGTTTAGAATGCGCAGAATCATAGGACAAAAGGGCCTTCTGCACATTGTTTTATTGTTTTAAGAGAGCTTGGGCGAAGGCATGAGCTAGCTCATTGCCTCTAACTCCACAGTGGCCAGGTATTCATATGACTTGTTTCCAGTCTCCCTCAGTACGGCCTTCTGCTGCTTGTGAAAGTATTCTGCGTGCTAGAGCACTGATTTTGCCTTTGAGGTAGTCGTGATAGGCCGTCATTGAGTCCGTGAGGGCGAAGGTTGACGCTGGGTTTGCGGGTGGTACCAGTTAAGCGTTTTTCATCTTTGGCCCATAGGGGCGCGTCAGTCGAGAGCTGTTTAAGACCTGCAACTTTACACCACTGTTTCGGAGGCTATGCAAAGTCGACAGTTATAGCGCGAGAACAAAACGACGACACAAAGACAAGTAGTTTTTTTCACGCGCTATAACTATCGTCATGCCATACCAACTAGCCCAAGCTGCCATACTTCTATGCAAAGTGTTGCGTTGTTGCACCGTCCGCCACAGGTAACGCTAGTCACCGAGAACATTGTTTGTCGCTACCGTCACCTGTGGCGATAAAATTTGAGAAGCGATTGAGAGAAATGAGGAAGGAGCGTTGGGCAAGGAAGGTTTTCAGCTACTTGTACATGAAAAATGTCGGTACAAAATGGAAGAATCGAACCAGAAAATTGACTGGTAAATACTTAAAAAACAGCAGGTGGCCAAACCGAAAAGAACTATCGGTTAAGAAGAAAGTGAAGGAAACGGAGACGGACATGTGGAGAATGGGCATGATTAAGAAGTCCGCACCAGAGATCTATTGAACTTTTAAGCAGGAAATTGCCAAGGAAAGTATCTATGATAATACTCGGGGTAGTTCTCTACTGTTTGAGGCCAGGACAGGAGTACTGCGAACCAAGATATATCGGGCAAATACGAAGGGGTAGGCACGGTATGCAGTGCATGTGGAGAGGAGGAGGAAACGGCCGAACACTTCATAATGTTATGTAAAGGGCTTCATCCTATAGTTCAGGATGATGGCGCGGAAATTTTTTTCAAAGCACTGGGGTTTAGGGACAGGGAGGGCAAAATAGACTTTAAGCTGGTAGAATTAACTAGAAGAAGGTTACCTGATTGGTGGCTAAAGTCAAAGCACGAGTGAAAACTAAACCCTTCACTGCAAAGTACCAGTCCTCAACTTCACTATTTAAAAAAAGAGATAAATCCTGTGGTTAGTTCACTAAGCATTACGGCTGGGTGACCCTAGCCGCCGCCCGATCTAAAAGGTACAGCCACATTCATCCATCTATCCATCCATTCATTCATTCTACAGTGAAAGAGAAAAAGGGTGTGGCAGCTGTTTTCTTTCTGATGCGGCAGGCACCTAAATAGAGGAGGCGTTGGCGTGGCGCTCTATATTCTACGCGGCGCTCGTATCGCCAACGCCGCTTGACAACGAAAATGGCCTTCAACTTCGTTGCGCTCTGCTACATCGTAGCTCTTATTCTGACAGCCCTCCTCATATTTATGGCCGTGTTCCATGTACGTACAATAAGCACGCACAGACGTGTTATTATTCTTCTCTGTCGCCGCCACTGTCCTGTGGTCGCATGTCGCGGTGATACGGTGGCGGCGGCCGGCCTCTGCTCTGCGCGAACGTGACGGTCCGTTTTCTGTGAAGCGCCCTTCTCACCATTCCGTCCACATCTCTTGCAGGTGATCGCCTTCGACGAACTGAAGAACAACTATAAAAACCCCATTGAACAGTGTGACAGCCTGAACCCGGTGAGTGTATGCATCCCAAATCACCGCAGTGTGTGTGTGTGCAGATCGGGCACTAACTTCGTAAGCGCCGCGGTGTTCAAGACGAGCAGGTGTCGCCAACTGGGCAGCCGCGATGCTGAGCGGGCGTGTTCGATATTCAAAGTTTGGGGGGTACAGTGGACCGTGTTTATTGTATAGACAAGCCTGCGCGGTAACCAGTTGCAAAGCTGGAGGGGGGGGGGGGGTGTAATTTTTAAAATTTTACGTGGATGCACGATACACACACACACACGTAAAAACGCGCACCATGGGTATAAAAGGTAGCTGACCCACCTCACCCAAGAAAGGAAAATTTCCTTTTCAGCGCTGGTAAAAATTGGATACTTAGCAGCTAATGATGCCCCGCCGCGTTGGTCTAGTGGCAAAGGTACTTGGACTCTGATTCGCAGGTCGCGAGATCGAATCCCGGCTGCTGTGGCTTTTCCGATGGAGGCAGAAATGTTGTAACCCATGTGCTCAGATATGGGTGCACGTTAAGGAACCCCAGGTGATCAAAATTTCCGGAGCCCTTCACTTTGGCGTTTCTCATAATCATATGGTGGTTTCGGGACGTTAACCCACACATAATCAAATCTGTTTTCTACTGCTGCATAGTGCATTGCTACTTCGCAGTTTTCACATGTAGCGCTTATGTGCACTGTGACTCACTTTTCTATTTTCACAGCCGGATCGAAGGTATCATGGTGTACCTCGAACAGCATTTAGATGGCTACGTATTATTTTGTGATTAAGATTGTGACTAATAACAGTTATGCCCATAGACTATTCTCGACGCAGGAGCACGGGGATGCTGGTGCCAAAGAGCATGTCGTGTTAGAAAGTGAAGTGTGAAAATCGCCGCTGATGTTGCAGAAATGTCACGAAGAGGCTTTTGACTACGTGCCCGCATGGTCCGTAAGCTTTTGTGGTCGACTGTACATTGTTGGAAGCATCCCATCACTCCTATTCTGCATGTGCGCAGTTGTCTGCATGTGCTGGTATTTCAGGTGCAGGCATGATGGAAGCGTGCCTTTGACCAGGAAACAAACACTTGACCAGTCAGTTTGGCTGCCTGTAGAAACCACATGTTTATCGAGGGCATATGAGGTCACATAGGTCACATAGTTTCCTGAAGCCATATCCGTGTTTTGTTTAACAGCGAAGAACACAAACTTTTTGTCGATGGTCGATCCTGGGTGATAATTAGTGATGGGGGGCTTCTAACTCTTTCCTTCAAATCAGTGGTCTCACCGTTGTGCTGATTGTTGCAATTGTGTCAGTCGAAAGTAAAAATAAGACAGTGAAAAGTTTTGCTTGGCAACTTGTCCTACACGTTTTCTGAAGCATTCCCTATCTTCCATATTCGTTCATACACTATGTTGATGTCTCTTGCTTCTAGATATCATGCACAATATCTGACTTTCCAACCACAACATAATTCATGTGGGGATATCTGTGCATGTTTGCCTTGACCATGATTTGGCTCAGCTTGAAGGCCTTTTGGTTCGGCTAGGACTGCCATTAGCAAAGGCTTGCCGGGCTATGTCGTGCCTTTTATTATATTACTATCACCGTTATTATTGGCGATTGCAACAACACACGTCCTCAGCCTCACACTCATTGCTGGTAGTTCACGTTTCAAGGGTAGAGTTGGGTAACTTCATCCAAATTTCTCATTTCAGTTTCTTGGGATGGTATTATTGAATCTGTGGTTACTTGTTAGCCTAATATTCATAAAAGAGTACACAAACGAAGGTAACCCGCCGGCATCTGTGATAAACCTATGGAATCAAGGAAGCTGTTGCACCCTGACAGATGTCTTCTCGCCAGCACATGTTAAAACATCGTCACTTTAAGCGCTACCCCTAACTTGCATTGCAGGCATCTGAAGACTTTGTCGAAGCGTTAGAGCCCAGAGAAATAAAACATCAACATCCATGTGCTCGTCGTGGAAAAGAAAAGAATGAAATAAAGAAAATTATGCAGTAAGGCTCCATTCTTGCGACATTGTTAGTCATTGTTCAATGCAAGGTGCGCAGAATACGCAAGTAGTCAAGTTTTTGTTTTTTCCCCTGAAAAGTATATACTAAAGGTGTGTAATTTAAATGGAGATGCAAATCAGTAGTAAATACAGCAATCCATGTCACATCAGCTCCAATACAATCCACATGCTGAAGCCAGTAAATACAGGTCAGTCAAGTACAATCCACATCCTAAGTGGCCTGGGCTCTAACCTTTATAGTGAACTAGAATATATTCCACTGGCGGAACCAACCGGGCTCCGGCATCCTCCTTTTACACCGATGTCACGAGATGATGCCACTTGTACGTTTTCTAGCAGCTTTGGCTGCATTGTAGGACTGTCGTGGGCTCCTCTAAACTTTTAGCTGCAATTAATTTTAACTCGTGTGTTTGCTTTGTGGTTCTTTCAAACATCAAACAGCCAAATTGCTTACTCCCTCACTTGGAGATTTTGGCCAGAATTACATATTTTTGTATATTTACTGTTTGTGCTCGGCATTTGTGGTACATTTTTTACTTATTTGATAGGAACTCCTGACTTTTCCTATCGCTCGACGGTCTGTTTCCAGTGCATAGAGTTTTCCAATGAGACGTAAGGGTCATGGAATTTGCTTCAAATCATCAGGCAAAACCTGGAAAAGTCAGGGAATTTCAAAAAAGCAAATTGGTAGACACCCCGAAAAAGTGGTGACACACATAAACACTGACTATCAACTGAATTTATTATGGGAAAGTATCATTGCATTTATACCTCGAAGGTAGCCATACCACACATGCACCATACAATCACCTAAAAACAGATGCACATAAGTATAATTAGAGTTGAAAAATGAATCGGTGCATTATATACACAATCAAATGAAATCAAACTCAGATGGGTTTGGGAAGCAGCGCAGATGACCAATGCTTTTCTCGCGTGTTTATCTCTGTTATGGATGAGGAAATCTGGAGCTCACGTGTAAAAGCTGTTCTGGTGGCACACTCCGTAAGAATGGGGTACGAGCAGCGGGTTTCATTTGCAGCAGTTGTTGGCTTGCGAAAGTCATTGCACTAAAAGTCATTCACAGCCATCATCCAGAAAGTCGGTGATGCGGCAAAGGATGACGTCAGCGCCAGCCTGGCAAGGTCGAAGGAGCTCACAGTGAGGGAAGTTAGTAGGGACGACATTGCAATTATGTATGACGGTACGTAGTACAAACGGGGCCACAAAATGACGTCGAAACTTGTATTGGGACTTACAACGAAGGTCCCGTAAGGTTGGTAACCCTGCTGTGCATGTTTTAATATATAAAAGGTGCGAGCGTCCAATAAAGAGAGTCACTTGTCAATGCAACTCTAGTGTTGTTTGGTTCAACCGGCTAACTTTCTTTCTTTATTTATTTGTTTCTTTCTGTGCCAGTACAGAAAATGGAGCAAAGGCAAAAGGCTGAAAGCCTGACAAAGGGCCTTTGCTCCAAATACAGTGAGGCAGACAGGCTGACATAAGAATTTTGCAGGATACAGAAAAAATACAAAAATATACAAAAATACATAAGGTACATGTGCAAATACTGTAACACAACAGTAATAAAGTGTTATTTATAGTAAACAGAAATATACATAACCATCTTAATGTTTTAAATACCAATAGATATAAGTTGCGATTTCTCATCGCTATTGCAAGAGATCTACAAAAATAACAATATACACAGGAAAGCATAGGAAAAGAACACACGCATAAAAAGCATCAGATACAACTTAGGCAAAGAGGCCGCATAGAACGATAGTCAAGAAAATTCAATGTTGTTCTCAATCAGTATCATCCTGATCGTATGCTTCGAAACTGTAAAATTTATATCTAGGAGGCTGTTGATTTTGTTTAAAAACGTGGGTATCTGAAAAGATGAGTGTTGTCGTCCGTAGATCGTTCGAGTCTTCGGAGTCCTTCTAGCGTAAGTACGAAAATCGTACAGAAAACCACGAGAATCCAGTGAATGATAGTCTATTGCGTTTTATGTACTGAAATAACTTGAAATAGTAAATCAGGCTTGCTTTGAGCATGCGATATTTCGAAAATAGCGGTTCTGTTCGCAAGTCACGTATAGGGCCACGGAAGTCTTCAAAGATTCTCAGAACCCTCTTTTGTAGAATAAACAATTTAGAATAGTTGGTTAGTGTTGTAGTCCCCCACACAAGAGCGCAGTAAGGAAGTCGTGAGTAGAAGAGAGTATAATAAAGGATGTTTTTTAGCCACAGTGGTATGAGAGAATTTAACCTGTATAAGCAGCCAATACTTTTACTTAGTTCTGACTAACTTTGCTATGTGCTCATTCCAAGATAGGTCTTCTTGAAACCAGACACCTAGGAACTTTTGGCTGTTAAATTGAACTAATATGCGTCCCTGGTAGGTAATAGTCATATTAAAATTTCTTGGTTTATTCACGGGCGCAAACAGAATGTACTTGGTCTTATTTGCGTTTAAGCACAACTTATTAAGTTTCAACCATGACGAGAGTCGATTAAAAAAAAAATTCACGTTCTCTTCAAGGTCAACAAGTGAAGAACCCTAAAAAAAAATGTTTGTGTCGTCCGCGTACATTACTAGTTTGGGGCAATCTGGAATGCGGCAAAGATCATTGATAGCCCCGCCGCGGTGGTCTAGTGGCTAAGGTACTCGGCTGCTGACCCGCAGGTCGCGGGATCGAATCCCGGCTGTGGCGGCTGCATTTCCGATGGAGGCGGAAATGTTGTAGGCCCGTGTGCTCAGATTTGGGCGCACGTTAAAGAACCCCAGGTGGTCGAAATTTCCGGAGCCCTCCACTACGGCGTCTCTCATAATCATATGGTGGTTTTGGGACGTTAAGCCCCACATATCATCAAAATCATTGATATAACTTATGAATAGGAGGGGACACAGAATGGATCCCTGCGGCACTCCTTTCTCGACCACGACATACATAGTCTGATTGCACGTTATTTAT